TTACACCACTTTCATACCAACGCTAGTTGCCAGTGTGCTGAACGAGCTGTCCAAAAAAGCGCTTAAACTTACCTGGGCGACATCCTTTATGAGCAGGGTTTCTTTTGTCTGACGCTACAACTGTCGTAGTCCCAGGAGAAGCTCCGCTCAATAGACCGTTGGCATCTACAGAGCAAATCGTCGTATCAGCCACACTCCAGTCGTATAGACCACTTCCACCAGTAGCCTGCAACAGAGCAAGAAACGCGTAGCCTGCCCAGAATGTCAGAACAGTAGCATAAATCTATTGAGAAGCAAATATTTGCAGAGAAAAGCGCAGCGCACCTTCAAGGCGAAAGACGTCTCTCCTGCGAGGGAGATAAGGGAGCACAACATTTGAAGGCGTAATGCGAACAGGATCGACGATTTGCACTGACTGCTCTCCAGTAACCTTTCCAGTGGTTTCACGACTTACACCGTTCTGAAAATTACAGCAGTCACGAAAAGTTGGATGTACACGGAAAAACCGAGGAAAAAAAGAGCAGACTGATGAACTAGTTTATCTCAAACTAGCTAAGAGTGCGTTCACACTCGCGGTCCGATCGCTTGGATCGCTCGATTCAAACTGTATGAAAGTGACGCAATTTAAATGCTGCCGCTGCGGCGGTCCAACGATATACGGTGGAGCGCCGTCAGTCGTGGTCGCGCGATCCAATCGGTCGAGCGATCCGATCACGCGAATTCGTTGCGAAGTATGAACGCGCTCTGGCTCAAAAGAACGTAACCTCTACTGGAAATGAAATACGCAAAATTAACTGACTTGGTCGACTACAGCAACAAATTTGCTCTTCAAAACCGCTCGTCCCACTTTCTTTGGAGTTACTTCGAAATACGTCCGATTGTTCGACGAATAATGGACATCAAAGAACTCTAGAGGTATAGCACTCTCGAATCGCAAGTTCTGAAGCAACGAAAAATATCCGACGAATTCAGCGAAACTTGTCTTTTCAATGCTAATTCATACATTTCGGGGAGGAGCGGGGGCAGGGAACGCGACTGTGTGTCCATGTCACCTTCGCTTACACAAGCGCAGTCTTTAGTAGCGCGCAGACGACCTGTGGCGCGACGAGCAGACACACTCGCGCTACTGCGTCAGGTAAAGCATCTTTGACTGAATCCGTTCCATCAAGGAGAGAGGCCTCGATCAAGCCTTTGGATTTTAAGAAAAAATATTTTGAGCTGCGAGAATATTTTTCCGGCTAATGACTTTCTTGTGGTTTTTTCGATTTTATGTTCGCTATATCACTACGTATCTTCTATATTATCTTCAGAGTTCAGTGGATTAACGTCCATCACCTACCCGACTGTATCCATTTCTTAGCCTTGGGCTTATCTTTCAGCGTAACACACCTTCACTACGGCCACGGGCTACTGCGTCCTAGCGAGACCGACCACGGCACTCGTTCGCCACGGGATAGGAGTGTGAAGACAGGCACACTGATCGACGAGTCGTGTTCGATAAGTGCGTCCAAGAGCAGAAGAGTGTTTTTGAGCTGAGGGGAGATTGACGCACATTTGCACAGAATTTCTTTCCCGGATCAGCCAAGAAGGTCGTCACCAGATCTGTACCGCACAATTGTCTCAGTAGCGGCCAAGTGTTGTTTTCGACGAGGGTTTGTGGAGTATTGACGCAGTCGTCCTCACTCTCCTGAAGTGCATGTTATTCAACCCTCTCCCTCGCCACCACACCGCTCACATCAAATACAGAAGCCCTTACTACGCACTTCAACTAAGCAATTCAACTCAACACTTATCTATCTACTTTTCGTTCACTACCCTAGTTTCTTGTGAAATGGCGGGGCCCTAGCTCAAGATGGTAACCTCCTCGAGACTATGCCCCACCCACATTGGTCATCCTCATCCTCTCCCCTCCCCTCCCAGCCTCCCCCGCCGGCCTAAGCGCACCCCAGACACTGCAACCCCCACTCGTCCTCCCACCCTTCTGAAACCAAATCATGCCTCTCATCAGTCGTTAGATTTGACAACCATGTGTTTAGTCTTCCAGGAAGCGGACCAAGACGTTGGGGTGCGAACTCTCAAATTCTTCTTTTCCTAAAATCTCGACATTGTTTGGGGAGTTTTGTTTTTGTACCGCGCTTATCGGCAGGTAAATTCTGATCAAAATTTTAGAGTTCAGTCGCCCAGCCCCCACAGTCCTCCGAACTAGTCCTCTGAAAGTTCCCAATCTAAAGGAAAAACCATGGAAACAAAAAGATACTTTAGCATGACTCACATCGCTGATATACATTATATTTCCATGAGGATCAAGAAGCAATACAGAGAGCTTATAAAGAATGCCAGTCTGTAAGAGCCAGTTTCCGCCACCAGAAATCATCCATTGAATACTCTCCGGGTCGACCACATAAATGGCCGTAGATGGAGGCCGAACGCCTGTCTTCGCTTTGACGTCGACATCTGGAAAATATGAAGTTTAAAAATAGTGCTCGTACAAGAAAAATATCTGAAGAAACATCACTTTGGCTGAAGAGGTGAATATCTGTGCGGCCACGAGCTAATGCGTGGATGGAAGATGTCATCTTATCCAGGGAACAAATGCTCTCAGAATCCCCACCTGATAGGGTAATAAAGCAGACCGAAGGCATTGAACAAACTGAAAAAATCCTTTGAAGATGATAGCGAGCAATCAAAGAAGTGCGCAGAAGGTTTTTTACACAAAGGAGAAAAAGTCCAAAAACGCGCTCGCGTCTTGCTTTCGGCCCTTCACCCTCGCTCAACGCTCGCCTGGGATGCCCGGGGATAAACAAGAGCGCTACATCTAAGCCAGCGAGCGACTCTTCTCTGCGATCGCTCCGCGCGCGGATTTTTTCTACAGGGCTCTAGCCTTCAGTAAAGGAGAAATTAAATTAACTCGCCTGGGAGGGAACGCTGGGACCAAAATGCCGTAGACACCCTATTCCCAAAAAAGGAATGGTGGAGCTTACTAATTAGGAGTTGTCCGGAAAGCTTCTTAGGGAGCCCGCCTTTGCGTTTTGGTTGTGTTTCACTTTTAAAGCGCAGGGCGCTTAACTTGTTGCTTAATACTCATACGGATTTGAAATCGAAATAGGCACCATTCGAATCGAGGCATCAGCTCTTTGCCAAGGTGCTGACAGCAGTCGAAAATCATAAGGAAAAAACTGCCCATTCACTGTTGGTCGCAGAATCCACGAAATCTACGAAGGTCTTTTTTGCCTGGTCTTAATTGAAGAAGTATTTTTCAGCAAGGAAGCTCTGAAAATGTCTGAAAAGGTGACAGTCGGTTGATGAAAGGTCCGGAGAATATGGTGGGTGAGGTAGACTTCAACCTCAATGTCGTTCAATTTATTTGAGATAGTGATTGTGAAAACATGTGGGCGGGCGGTCTGTCTGTCATGCAAAGAGATCGCGACCCTTCTTTGATAAGTGTTGCTGCCAAGCTGACAATATTGTCGGCACATTTGGTCGGTTTACACTCTCACAGTAGGGTTGCTAGCCATGTGATGGTTTCCTAGCGGGCCGTGGTGATGCAAGAAGTTATAGTGGATTACAACGAGCCGATGACCAGCCAAACCTGACCAGAAATTTTTTTTTCGTGAGGGTTCGGCTTTGAAAATTACCTCGGTGGTTCCTCCAAATCCAACCACTGTCCGGAACATCTCCTGTTATCATACATGATCCATTTTTCATCACAGGTGACAAATCCGTTACGGGGTTCAAGGACTTTTTTTGGCGAAATACGCTCCGGTCAATACCTTTGCGCAAAAGAAGTCCGAAGAAGGTAACCTCGAGACGCTGCCGTGATTCCTGCCGGTCACTCGATTGTGGGGCACCTAATTGTCGGGTTTTTTCACCTTCCCAATGCGTTTCAAACAATCTACAACACTGGATTTGCCAAGGCCTAGCTCTTCTGCTATCTCTCGAACTGTTTGGGATGGGTCAACCTTCAAAATCCCCCTAAAATCCTCGTCAGATATTGCTTTAGGTCGACTGCCATGAGGTTCATCTTCAATGCTGAAATCTCCTGAACGAACTTTGTTGAGCCATTGCAGCACAGTGCTTTCTCAAGCACTATTGGCCCCCCACACTGGGGTTAATTCTAGACTGAAGGCTAGTGTTCGCACGGTATTGTTGCTCGGAGGTTCTGCCCCAATTTTATAGTACGTAAGGAAAATAAATTCGTCCGAAGAGATGTTTCTCTCCTTTTCGACCATGATTTTGAAAAAATTCCTGGAGGGAAAAAGAGGATGAGTTCAGATAAAGCAATGGTGAACGGCAATTATGACCTGGCAGCAATAGACCTTGCGCATAAATTAATTCTGGGCGGTGAGAGGTTATACGTCGGTAACTGATTCAGGAAAATGCAACGGCAGAAAGAGTTTTTAAACAGTCAGTGAATGTACAAAAAAGAAATAGGTGCCACAAAACGCTAAGAAGCTTTCCGCCGACAGACCTGAAGTACGAAGTCGCGGAGTGCACTAGTACTACTTGTGTACTTTTAGCAGAACCGAGACGGCAAAAGGGCTGCGTTCAGACTTTGAGCCGGCATCTCCCAGTGCTGCGAGAGTACGCCAGCGACTAAGAAATATAGATATCGATCTAGCGAACGTCGGCGTCCACCAGCGCACAGCAGCGTTTGAACTCGAGCAGAACTGCCTCGCGAAAACGCTGCTGCACGCTGGCGTTTGCTAAATCGATATCTATACGTTGCTAGTCGGTGGCTCTGGCGCACGTTCGAAACGCTGATGGACGCTGACGCAAAGTATGATCAGCTGAAAAGAGCTATTCGACTTTAAGACGCAAACGCAGAAAGAGCTGATAGGCCGCAGCACTGCCCTGTTAACCGGATTAGGCCCTGGTGCGAATGATGCGTACATCACCTACTTGCAATGTCTAGCCGATCGTTCTCGCTGCGACTAAAGTAATGTTCCACACCTTTCGGAGTGTGGGCTTCTCAAACTACGATATCGCCGTTCAAACTCGTGTCACAATAACAATTCTGAGCGAAAGCACAAACCTTCGGTACTACTTTGTCTAACAATTTGTACTTGGAAGGGCACCACTGCATGTACTGACAAATAGAGATCATGGGCAGGTAGAAGTAAAAGATTAGCGACAACGGTAAGCTCCAGGCTATGAGATTCGATATTCTGAAAAAAATGTGAGTTATCTTAAAAACATAGCAAGGAGGGTCGCCAACTGCTAAGGGAGTTGGCAAAGACAGGAGACACGACACGGCTGCACCGACTTTTCTGCTCGTTCTCACCAAAACGGTGACTTTTATTTTGAGTAATTCTCTCAAAACAGAGCCACTTGGCTCAGCCTTGGCAAAATGCAGGCGATCTTATCTCGCCGCCTGGACCTTCTAACTCCCTCAGAGTGCGCTCACACTTTGCGTCAGTGTTTCGAGAATCTCTCAGTGTATTGACTAAGCGACTAGGAAAGCATAGTAGCATATCGATCCGGCTATGGGTGGATACGCTCAAAACGTGCATCAGTGCCTGTACTTTCCTAATTGCTCAGAACACTGACGCAAAGTATGAACGCACTCTAAACACCTCAAAGGTACTTACAGCGAAATGGGGCTCAGCGAAACGTGCAGTCAATGTTGCAGAACCTGTTAAAACTCCTTCCACGAGAATAATGTAACCTGAAGTCAGAGAAAAATCACTGATAAATCTTAGGCTTATTCTTACTCATGAAAGCTGTCACCTTTCTTCTTATTATTCTCCAAGGCAATAATTTCCGGTGGAGCCTCATAGGTGGACTGTTCAAATGGAACAATTCGAAGAGGACGACCATCACCAGAATGTGACAGTTCCCAATCGATTGGGATCTCGCTGAGCGTCGAAAATTTGTCACCTGAAGGCATAACATAACAATAATTACCGAAATAAGCAGAAAAAGTGTGCAAGAAAAAAACGTTCACCTTCTGAGTTGAACGCCTCAATGATCATACGTGCTGGTGCTGCATCGACGAAAAGGATCTTTGTGGTTGTTTCCACCCGGATTCCTGAGATCTGATCCACAGTGACGCCACAGCTGAGCATTGTTCCTGATGCTAAAACTTCTGATATTTTCGACTGGTTAGCGACGGTTTTGAGACTTTTCTCAAATACTAGTATCAGAAGTTTCAATTTTACGAAATCCCTTTGTATGCAGCATGGACGACTCACGATGCACCGCAAAGCTCGATCTGGGTTAACATACCCGATAATATAACGCTGAAAAAGTCGAAAGACCGGCTCAACTTGGGCGACCCTTACTCTCCGATGATTTCTAATGTACTTGTAGGGGAAGGGGTGTAGCGGTAGGTGACACCGTTTACTACGCGCAGTCCGAAGGACAAATCTTGCATAAATCCTTCACTCAGTCGAACCTACCCTTCCACTCATCCGGAACTGAAAAATTAGATACATCTGGAAGGATAAACGCTGATTTGCTCATTGACCGACCCTGGAAACGATTGTTTGGGCCATGCCGCACTCAAAAGCGACGCAGATCGTCGTGGAGGCGGCGGGGGGGAAGAAGTGAGAAGGAGAAATGGCATTCGAAGACGCTGTGCAAAATTGGGGTAACATCATCCAAATAAGAGTACGTCATCCAATTAACAGTGCTACCAGAGCTTGATCTTTTTTTGTGTTTCTTTTTACTTTGCGCTACGGCTATTTATAGTAGCAAGTCTCCTTGGTCGGATACTTCTTATTTCAGGAGGAAGGAGAGGATGGGTTGGGGAGGGGTGTCGCATTAGAGGTTTTCAGTGTGGTACTGGCCTCTTCATACATCACAATGCTACACCCCATTGTTGAAGACCTGAAATGTCTCGAAGAGCTCTCATTAGGATTCTACCGGGCCAGAGTCAATCAAACTGGAGAGCTTAAGAATACTAGGGAACTTCTCCGAGAAAAACGACTTAGAAAGTTTGAAGGACTCAAAAGATGGAAACAGGGACTGAGGGGAGGAGCTGTTTTCCTGGCGAAACATGAGGCTAGTTTATAGGCAGTTGGCACAGAAATCCCCCAGACGACCAGATCAATTACTCCTGGCAGGATAGAATTCCGCGACCCTGGGCAGGCGCTGCATAGCGGTTTCCCCGAGGAAGGTGCCCTTATAAGGGCCCTATCAAGCCACAACTTTACGTCCCAAACGCCCGCCACGCCCGCCCGCCCACAAATGGACGACCGTTCCTGACGCTCGTATTCATTCATTTGCTAAGCAAAATATGAAGAAGGGATTGGTATGAAGAGGATGCTGCATGCATATATGGGTACACATATGCAGCCGTATCTTCGGTAGCGGTGATGGTAAGATGCCTACGGGAAACTCGTCCGAAATCGATTTACAAGTCACTGAGAACGGAGGCTTTTTCTTCGCAGGATTTTGACCGTTTCACTCCGTTCTTTCGCCATTTCCCCACTATACAGCGCCCTACTAGCATTTTAGGCTAAGTAGGAAACCATCGTGCCAACTGCCTTTAACAAAAATTTTTCCCAACGGCAGGACGTGCCTTAGGGGAAAATCGGTAAAAAGAATAATTCCGTTCGAAAATCTACTTTAAAGAAAACCGAACACGGGGACTGCTTTGTAATACCTACCACTATCCTCAGCAAAAATGACGGCACTCAATTCTCCGGACACGGCTTTGGCTGTGGCACGGACTTCGGCTTTATCCGAGCATTCGCCAGGTTTCACTCCGACCGGCGTGACGGAAACCACATCGGGGCGTGTCGATCGCCTAAAACATACAATATTTTTCACAGAATTTATCACTAAATATTAGTAAAGCTCTTACCAAACGAAACATCCTCCGGATGGCTGAGTTACTTCTAGCAGGAATTTCACAGGAATAGTAGGATGGTAAGGTAGTAATACACGTGGTACATTGAGTCGATAGGAAGATGAGTAGTGAATAAAAGCAAATAATAACAAAATATTCCACATTGGTAGTGTTCTGCTCAATAAGCAGGTCTTACCCATACTGAAAATGAAGAAATTATGAAGAGCTCAAAAATATGAGGTCATACTTCATACTCTGCGACTCGGGAGAATAGGAGAATCGGTGGCTCCTCGTTTGAGGAGAATTTGTGCTGAAAAAGCTGATGGAAATCGATCAATAGTGATCAAAGTCGATCGATTCGCGTCTATTCAGACGTCGAATCGCCAGTTTTCCCCGTCTCCGAGTAGCAAAGTATGAACGCGGCAAGTCAGGAAAAGGACGGTTCCTCTTCAAAGACCCTGAAGGATGAGGAACTGATGTTGGGCAGTACTAGCCAATTCTCGTTGGCGAGCAGAGTGTGCAACAGAACTATCTAAGAAGGGCTAGCATGCACCGAAGAAGAGGCTGTGAGCAGGACAAGTTTTGACGAG